AAAAAAAAATGAGGAGAGGACACATAGCATCCTTTTTTTTTCCTTCGCAATGATATTGGGTTCCACTCGCACGATTGATGTGGAATCACTGCAAACGAAGCACACGCCTGAGCAATAGGAATAAGAGGAGGAGAGAGAGGAGGGGGGGGGGACACGCAATACGACTGACGGTCTCTCCAGCTCTGTGAGTTTGTGTGGCAGGATGACAGGGAAAAGTGCATTGTTCGTCCCGTAAGCGTAAAAAGTCAAGAAGCTGAAGCACCAGCGACAAAGTGTCTGTGTGTGTGTTGGGGTGGTGCGCTGCGGCACGCCGGTCCCCCTGTTATTTTCAGCTTCCTACGTGCACTCTACGGCAGCAATACTCACTCTCCTGCTTCTTGCATACATGTACTATAAGGGAACAAATACACACGCACACATATAAATATATATTTATATTTGTCTTTCTTTATAGACACAGAGAGAGAGATAGTGTGAGTACGTGTGGGAACCATGCAGCCGCAGACACCCCCAATGACGAACTTTGAGCAGAACGCCACGCAGGCGTTTCAGATGATGGGCTCCGTTCGCATGCAGTCAGCGATGCTGCACCGTAGCACAACCTTCTGCCTCGACCGCTGCCTCGACACGGAGGAGCTGTACACGCTGCTGCGCACAACGGAGGCGCCTATTCGCTATCGCCTCAACGCGGACCTCGGGGAAAAAAAGTGCGCCACGAACTGCGGAGCCAAGTGGGACGAGCTGTACCGCGCCACAACGATGCGGGTGAACGAGGATGAGACGCGGAGGGTGCAGATGCAGGCCATGGCGTCCATGATGGAGGCGATGCAGCGCTGAGCGTGCTGCCGTTAAGAAAAGAAAAAAAAATACATAACGTGTCTGCCAATGAAACGTAGCTGCTCATCACAGACCCCATTCCCCTTCTGATAATTATATGTCTTTACACTCTCATGCTCTACAGATGCCGTCTAATTTATCTGCCTGTGTGTGTTTGGAATTTCTGTTTTTTTTTTTTT